CTGAGTCACTTTGGAATTACTGTCAGGGCTACTTCTCAGAAAATCAAGGAAAAGTCACACAAAACTTCCTAAACTCAATGCATAAGGGACAGCCTGCAATAAAACTCACCGATAGACCGATAATTAAAAACCCTGCACTTTAGATCTTTTGCACAGGATTAAAATCAAACACCCTTAGTTCAAACAGACCATCCAGTTACAAATATTTTTTAATCCTAAAGGTTGCTGCATTTGCTACACTGGCAAATGCCACTGATTCTACATTTTCAGACTCCTGCCTTCAACCACTTTTGGCATTGACCAAGAAGAATGTCCGATTTTGGAAGCATATCCCACCATGAAAAGTTTAGATGAAGGCCCTTCTGTCTAGACACAACAAAGAATGAATATTTAATTGCTCTTCACCCCAAGTGACACTACCAAGTTAGTGCCACAATACATACAAGAACCTAAAAAAATTACTCAATTCCTTCTTTACAGATCACCTTTAGACTTTTTATTACAAATATACAGTGTTTGAACTTCACACTTCTTTATTGGTCTCAGGCAAATATTTTCCACGTTCACAACTCAAAAATAATGCCCAGGACAACCTCAAGTCTTCTCACATTTGTTCAGCATTTACCTACTAAATCTTCTCTGGAAGCAGCAGAGTGGGGGGTGCTGGTCCCTGGTTCTATCTTTAATGAAAGTCTGCATTAAAGAAACATTAAAAATTACTTCATCAGGAAACAGAAATGCAAGCTTGTGAAAAAGCATTTTTTCAGTTTACAGTTGAAAGCTGCCTGCTTCTACAATTGCAAGAAATGCTATGAAGTTAATACAAACTGTGCAGAGTTATCTTCAGCACACACCGTTTCCAAACTTGATTATTTGGTTCATACAGAGCAGGTCAGGTTTGCAACACCACCAGGACCTCCATGGCCCAGGGACCTCTGGCAGATCCAGAAACTCAGTGAGGATATTGCTACTCCAGCATAAAACCCTGAGAAGAATTAAAAAAAAAATATACAACCACTCCCCCCACCTTGACTAAAATATTTATTCCTGGCACACTCTTTATTTTAAATTTTTCTGTAAAGCTTAGTGTGCCAAGCCAAGCCTTTTGTCTTTACTGGCCCAAAAGCCAAAATCCTTTTGTGTCTTGGAAAACACATTATCAACTTGATTTCATCCATAATTCAAGGTTTTTCTGTAACAGGCACTGTTTAATGCCATTTCCAAAAGTCCCACAAGGAAGGCACAGATGTCTTTGTTCTGATGAGGAATGACAGTAAGCTATCTCCAATTATGGGATCCATCTTATTTACCGCACAGTGTTACAGTTGAGCCAGATATACAAAGTCTTTATCAGAAGACTAAACAGCCCTGAAAGTAAGGGCTTGGTACAGTCTGGTATAGCAAAGGATGGAGATAAGCCATGCAGCACGTGGAAAAGGGTCTTGGAGCACAGGGTCCTTCAGGAACCTCAACCACTTGCAGCTGGTTCATCTGAAGTGCATAATCATGGAATCACAGTATGGTTTGGGTTGGAAGGGACCTTAAATCTCGTATCATTCCAACCCCTGCCGTGGGCAGGGACACCCATATAATATAATACAAGTACAGTCCTACAAGTGACAGGTTTTGTGTTATAGAAGTTACGTTATGTTGTCTCAGTTGTAGCATTTTGTACTTACTTGTAATTGTCATCTTCTACAAACTTTTGTAGTTCTTCTATGTACTGCACTGAGTTGAGATATTTTTGGACGTGAGGCAACATAGGAATATCTAGAGAACAGATGACATTTATTATTACAATACCACTCATTGGTAAGCAATTTTCCAGAAACTATTTAAACAGATTCAGATCTCCTGACTTTTTATGTGAGATGAAGGTACAAACTACAGTCTCTGGTGATACTGAAATTTTAGAACTTGATAGCAAATCTCACGTGCTGAGCTGACACTCCCCACATCCACAACCCCCAGAGCTGCTTATCAGGGCACACGTGAAGGAAAAGAAAGACAACTTCCCAGGCCAAACTGAAGGCCCAAACCTGGACTGTAGAGGGCTCTGTCTGAGGACTCCTCCACAGCCCAAATTCTCTTGATATTGAGCTTTCAGGGAAGCCACAATCCTGTGCTAGTTCATATTCCACCATTGCAAACTCAGCCTTACAACTTTACTAGAATACGAAGGGGACTGTGAGGGAGACATTTGAAGAAACAATACACGACCTGATCCGTGAACAGAACTATAAATGTCCAAAAGACAAGCCAAATGTATTTTATTACCTCCAGTAAAAGTACTACTCCATATTTTTAAAATTCACGGTCATAAAATTATGAAACACACGGCTACAAGCTTATAACACACCAGCAAAACTACTGTCAAACAGGATGTACTCCACATTTATCATCAGGAAATATGTCCTGCAGAAATGTGTGTGATGTAAGAAAAGGGTGATTTTATTCTGTCTCCTCATGCTGATGCTCTGTCTCAACACCAAAATAAACCCTGACTTTTGGTCTGAGAGGATGAGGGAAGGTGTTCATGGCATTCCAATGAGCTGGGCCTAACTTAAATTGCAGTACAGCAAACAAATATTGAAGCTTTTAAAAAGTTCTTCTCTCTAACACGGCAATGTTTCCACAATAGCTCACCATATTCACAGGACTGCTGCAAGTCTGAGATAATTCGGAGAATGTTGTTCATTAAGTTTGTTCTTTGCTCACTTTCCAGAATGCTCGCTGTGGATGGGTAGGCAGAGTCAATATATGTCAAGTCTGACAGATAAATACCTGAAATAAGATGGAAATGAAAAGTTTCTTTACTTCCATGTCTCACACTTAACAGAAAAAAAACCTCACCAACGGTATTGTGAAGAATTTTTGCTTTCATTGACTGATGTTCAAACAGGTCTTTAATAATGTCATTATTTCTAAATCTAAAAGGTCATGAACAACTGCTCACAAACCACACCTTCACCACAGCACCAATGAACAATTCCCTTGACAAATATGAAGCACCCTGAACACGCAACGCTAAAACACCTGATCAAAATTACGAATTGTTTAGGAAGTTATGACCTCTTTCCTCCAATTCAGCAATTAAAATATACTAGAAGGAAAAATTGTATCTATAACCCCCCTTCAACTGAATAAAAGCTCAAACTCAACTTGCAGCAACGTGGGAAAAGTTAACAGGGAAAAAGGGCACTCAGACTGAAATGTGGAATGGATCCAACAGCCTTACAGATAAGACATTTTAAGTCTTCTACCTGCCTTTTTCCCCTGCACTGTTTGTAACCTTACTACTCTTTCAATCCCCTGAGCATATACAGACAAAAATCCTCCTCCTTACACACTAATGGTGTAGATAAGACACTTATTTCTAAATGTAACTCCATTTCTTGAACTTCACCCAAAGACTGATCATTCTGCCTTCAACTAAATGAAACACATCCTGACCAACTCTGCTATTAAGAGGAACTGTTCTTCATCCCCTGCATCTTCCACAAGATACCCAAACTAAAAAAAAAAAATACACAATCTTAAATAATATTACTTTAAAAACCCAATTTCTGTTAAAGGGAAGTTTTAAAATTATATTTTGCTTCACCTCTCAGCCTCGTATAACCAAAATCATAACAAGGAGTTTGGCTTTACAGGTGGAAGACTATTAATGCAACCTCACAAGAGCAGCAGTTGTGTTTGTATAGCACCTAACCAGCACAGTCCTCAAATGTGAGCTGGGAAACTCTGGGCATTCCTCCAAAATCAACACGCACACACGCGTGTGTGCACACACAGAAACAAATTAAAATACTTGTGGTTGAAAGGTGACATATAAAAAAGTGAATAAAAAGGTATTACACATGACCTGATACACCACTAAATCTCTCAATTTTCTATTCTGCTAGAAACGGTTTATTAAAAAATAGAAAGGATAATCAGAACCATCAGGCAGCCCAGTTTAATTGCCACGCTACGCTGTGTAAGCTGTCCTGAACCTGACTTTATACCAAGCTATGTCCAAACAAGCCTTAAAAATCCCAAACCTGCTCAGCCTTCCACAGAAAGGAGTAAATCATGCTTATTAACTATAATTAAGGAAATTCCCTGTAACAGGCACCTGCACTATTATGCAGGATTTTGTAAGCCACTGTATTTGTAGGATTATCTCTCTGGATGACTTGCTCAATTAAGCACAGGATTTTTCTTTCAGCTAAATGAACAACTCTCCTGTGGACAGCAGCTCTCTGAAGCTACTGGATGCATTGTTATGAAATCTAAAATAATTCTGAAAGCACACAGGGGTAGTTCTCTTTCAAATGTGACTGGCACAGCCCTTGTGAAGAACCCCGAAGGATCAATGGCAGCAAACTGAACGTACCCAAGTGCTGGCTGAGCAGGGACAGAACCCAGCCCAGACTGTGCATTGCCCAGTGGATCTCTGTGGCTTTTGCTACTTCTAACACCGGTCAGATGTTATCAAACATTGTGATACCTACCCAAAACCATCACACACACACAGAGTTTTAACATTTTCCACATGTAGGGGAGGTTTCGTGCCTTTAACGACCGGAGTTGTTTCTTATTAAGTGAACATCAAGAATCGAACGCAACATTCTGTCGAACATTCTTCTAGACTACAAATGCTTCATTTTCCCTGTTGTATCCAGCCAGGCTGCCCCTTTTATTCCCAGCAACACAAATCAGGTTTTATCAGCCTGAAAGAATCTTTCTTCTAAATGAAGCCCAGTACTGTAATAACTTGAAAGGCATCTTTAGGCAGCGTAGTAAAAATGTTTGATTTGTAATTGCCTGCTGAACTCTTGCACAGTCCGTTGCCATATGGTACCTCCCTTCTACTGGCAAACAATCTTTCCTTGTTCCTGACTTCTCAGCCTCCCTACCCCCTCCTTTTCTGGAGGGTATGGATAGGAAATCCGAAGGAGGAGTTTCTCCTGCTCTCCGAGTGCTCGCGGTGACATCATAGGTGGGCCGAACGGCTGAGCCGAGCGTGTGTTTGTTTAAAAAAAACACTGTCCAAAAGTGATGTATATGGAATCTGGGTCAGCTGGAGCTGGTTAGAGCACTTCTGCTCTGTTCTGTGAGAATAAAACACTGCAGTTTCAAAAAAACATTTCCTTCTCTCTCCTGGAATAACGCACAGCGGAGCATTACTTTTTTTCCCTTTTTTAAATGATTAGGTAGTTTGGTTATCGTATGGAGAAACCCAATTCCTCAGTACAGCTTGGATCTAACAGAGAAAGACAAAAGCAGTTTTCAGCTCCAACTGCAGATTAACAATCCACAGCATCGGGTAATACAGGAAGAAAAAGCAACTTGGCCTCTGGATTTTCCATCTCCCACAGAAGCAAAACCAGCTGGAAGACTTTTTTTCTTGGTAAGTTTTAAAGTTATTCTTACTTGCAAGTTTCATTTCGAGCTATTTGTGAATGCTACATCTCCCTCAACACACAATTGTGAAGAAACAAATCCTTCTCAGCCTTTGAGAAAAATTTGACAACTGACATTAAAACTCATTTTTGTGGCATTTGGTAGACTTTGGAAACTTGGAAAGCATTAGAAAGGACTCTGCATAAGAGCAGAGACTAACTCGTTCCAGTTGTAAGGGTGAACTGGTTTCAGTTGTTTAGCTGTATTGTTATCTACAGTTACAGAAAATTAGCACTCCCAGAGTCTTTGCTAAGCATGTAATTTGGGTACTGCGAACATACGAACGTGAAATTCCGATCCTACCAGAAAGCAAAAGCCAAAACCCCTATCGATTTCAGGGAAGCTGGATTCCACCCAACACCACAGCATAGACCTTGCATTACTAGAACTAGAAAATGGATACCTCAATAAAACCACTGTGAAAAGTCCCAGGCAAATCAATGCACATCTGTAAGTAGCAATCGTTGTATATCGTTTCAAGTCCGTTTTTATTTATGGTACTTCCGAGGAGTGGAAGTTGCCTGAGCTGTGGAGCCAACCGAGAAACCAGTCCTGCATTGATTCCGAACATAATCAGGTCTGTAGCACAAACAATTGTGCAGCTGAAAATCCAAAGACATTGCTGCAACAGGCACTAAGCCCTTCCTTCAATGATTTCTGGGAAGTGAGTTGTACCTCAACTGAACTGCAGTTTGTTTCTAAATCAAGATCCATTTCGTAAACATGAAGTGCAGTGTACAAGGCAACACTATATTAAGTGGAAAATTGGGGGGTTTGTTATAGTTGTTTGAGGAGAGGGAGGGGGAAGGACACTGCTGCAAGTCAACGATTAAAACAAGAGAGTTATTTACAAACAGCAGACAAAAGCACAGATAAAAAAATCACAAAAAGACTTGCTAATACGTAATCTACTTTTTTCCTTTCTTCATGCTGACTTGGAAGCTAAAATACAGTAAATAATCCAGAACAATGGAAATTATTTTAAGTTATGTATTTGCATGAACTACCTCAGAGATGCCTGACACAGTAAGAGAGAACCAAGGGGTTGATGCTAAAAGCAAAAGCAAACTATTACAGAAAACAAAATTAATTAAGATTTGGTAGCTATGGGAGGAAAAAAGTCTGAAGCAGCCTTGAGGAACAAGAAAGATGGATCCTTTCCAGGTTTCTGAGCCCTTTTCCTTACTATCCTTTTGTGCTTATTTACATATGAAGGAGAACAATCCAAACAACACCACCACCACCACAACCCCCACTGGAGGCACATCGTGTGCTCCGGACACCAGGCTCAGTTCATTCATCATCAGCCAAGGCTCTGATTTACGCTGCTTAGAACAATTCCTAAATCTCCCACAAATGAAAACAGCTGAGTCAATAATTTTAAAGCAATAAACTGGCTATGTGCAAGGTTTTAACTCTCTCTCCCCTTTGCTGCCTTCCAACTCTGGAGTTCAAATTTTGAGATGTTTATTTTAAGACAAATAACGCAGTACTAATATTTCGCTGCTGCCAAAAGAATGATCTGAAGTAGGGTGGAAAAATATACTATTTAAAGTTTTAAAGGAATTTGAACCTTTAAACTTTTGGCAGTAACCACATGGTTATCAGGTCTTAATTATGGTTTTATTGGGCTTTGTTTTTTGTAATCTGCCCTGTTGGTTTAGGTCCTTAACATTTATACAGCAGTGAATGAAGTAAAATTTCCTATAGCAAACATAGCTAGATGGCTTAATATCTTCAGTATCTGTTTTAAAGAGAACTCTGGAGCCCCTAAATGACACATTTCCAAAGACAAAAAAAGCACCATTTTGTTGTACCTGCCTGTTCAAACAGTGCAAACACACACAGTGGCTGCCAACACACGTAAAGGAACCCTCACGTTAAAAAAAACTCGACCAAAGTATCTGGAAACATTCTGAAATTGTGCTGTGCTCTCGGAATATCTACCATGACCAGACTTACAAACCTCTTCTGCAGGGAACTAAGAATTCATCATTCTAAAAAGTGACGTTTTCAATGAGTACTTCAAAAGCCCCTTGACAACTTTTTGGTTGCCTTTCCCAAACAGAATCAGACTCATATTCATCTCCACAAGGCGGAATTCTGTGACTCAATACACCACAGCTCTGACAAAAAAAACCCAAGAACTTATTATTCCTGGATCCCAGTCAATACAATTGGAAGTAATCCTGTTATTTCAGCACAGGCAGAGGGACTTCCCGGAAAAGCCCTTGTTTATATAGGGAAAAGGAACTTACTTCAATACAGAGAGACACTGAAAATCCATGTGGACATTTCTCCTGTAATAAGATTGTCTTCCCCACATCACTATTCCTTCTAATGTTATGGGTCCAGTTTTAAAGCTAAAAAAAATCCAGAGAAATCCTTACTTATCCTGTGTAGACACAGGGGAACATAGTTGGGTTTATTGATTTCAGCTGCTTGGGCAAAGCTCAACAGAAATGAAGGATGTATAACATCAATAACTGGGATCAGAGGATCTTTAGTCTCAGTATTATAATTTACTCTCTCAAAGAAACCTGGTCCTCTTCCTGTTACATATAACAGGGCATTACTGGTGTTCACCACTTGACCATATTCTTTTAATAAATATTCTGAATAAAGATAAGTACTGATACAGCATTTTCCATACAAAGGGAACCCTCGACTCACATTTACCTGCACCACCTCTGTCACATTCACCCCTCACACCCTACACTGCCCAGGGAGAAGGAGAGCCTTCGGCAGCTCTGGAGGAACACACTCCAATTTGTGTCGTGGGTTTCCAAATTCTACATCCTGCTGAACCTGAGTCACAGCAGTATAACAAAGAATAAATAGTTTGTTGTGCAGCAAGCTGATAAATGTCCAATATATACCAACTTGCACACATCCTCGTCCCTGCAACTCTGTCTTTGAGATAAAATATTTTGAGGGATAACACGGTCTGTGTTACAGGAGTCAAAAATAGTAGTTACTGGTTTGTTTTGCTCTTTTAAATTAGAATTTTTGTTCCTTTAAGCACTTCTAAAAGTAGTAAGTCCAAGATTAATTTTGAAAACAAGTTGGGTTTTTTTGCTTGGGGATCAATCTGGAAAAAGAAAGAAACGAGAAGAAAAGAAATGGCATTAAATGTAAAATGGTATTGAAACTCTGTCCACAGCTCTGAGTGTTTCTGACAGGCTGATGAAGAAGCCTGTGAAGCTATGAATAATTGCACATTTTCCCCTGCAGAAGCCATAAAACACCCGTGTGTCAGAACAGACGTAACACAACTTCTGCAGAAACCTGAGCCCCACAGCTGGGTGGCCTAGAAATGGGACAGAACCAACTGAAGCGACAGCTTATTCCAATTTAAAAACATGACAGTTAATAAGGAGTTAAATAACGTATTTTAAAGCAATAGTATCCACAGATTCCAAAGGTCTGCAACCAGGTATTCCAGCAGCACCACTCAGCAGAAGCAACTCCAACCTTGCAGGGGGTGTTGCAGCCTGTGGTTCTGTTTGATCAACTATCTCCTAACAGTTCTGCCCCTACCTAAACATCTAAACCTGGGAATCTGGGACAGAATGTGTCTGATTCAAAAACCCTGTAACTATTTCCCCAACTGTAATTTTAATTTGTCATTCAGGTCTTACATATTAAGGCTATCATCCTGTGATACTTTGGATAAACAGCTCCTATTTTTTTAAGCTGCTTGCCAGAAATTTCTGAAACAGTATTTTCATTTCCCTCTAAGCTGATTAAAACTCCAGGTAAATATGTTGCTCAGAACCTATTCTTGTATAACAAGTTAGGCACTAAGCTACTCAAACACGACAAGCAGCATTTTAAGACATTTAATTTTTTCAACACCAAAGTTTCCGTGGGGGCACAGACATTCCTTACCAGGTAGATTCTCGGAAGAAACTCATCCCTGCTTATCTGAATGTCTCCGTTTACTGCAAGACATTTGAATCATTTGAAATTCTAGAGCATAATCTTATGCAGCTGCTGCTTTTGGCTGTGCTGTACTAGACCCTGTAATTCATTTAACGGTCTGACAGCACATATATAAGACACAGAACTTGTAACTTTAACACGTAAGGGTAAAAGTTCAAAATGAACACATTTAATATTAAAAGAAATGCAGAAAGCAGACTGCAGCAGAATACATGGTCAGAACATGGGTTGTGTTGCAAAGTGTTTTGGGTTTGAAAGATTCATTTAGGTTTTAATGTATTTCAGGGGAAAAAAATGTGCTGCTGTGGGGAAAATCCCCAGTCATTCATTATTTCAGTAACTCTGTAGGGTATTTAAAAGCTACCAAGAACTAAAGTGCTATTCACTTTCTTGGACTATGAAGTAGCTATTATATACTGTGAAAATAGTAAAGTACTGGGCTTGTGCTAGGGCTTCATCCCCAACCACATGCCATGAAGCCACTTTCCCTCAATCTGCAAACACTGAACATAAAAGCATTGAAAAATAATTTAAGGAGACGTGAAGAGTTTTTAAGCTTCAGACAATGAATTCAGCTCATCCTTGTCAGCTCAGAAACCACACACAGAGCAGTTCCCCACATGCTTCCCATGATTCATGTGAACATTTAACCTAATGAACTTCCAAATCTGAGCACTATTCAAGTGATTAATATTTTAACTGTCTGAAATTACCAAAGAAAAACACACAAGCAGCTCTGGAGAAAAGTGATACTTTTTCCTTTTTTTTTTTTTTTTCTTCTTTAAACAGAACACTTTCAGCAGAGAAATATTAACAAAAATTTTAAGTCCTGTTTTTGAAAAAAAAAAAATTACTAGTAGACGCCAAAATACCTATTACTACAAACGAAGAGAAATTACTTTTTTGATATAAACTTCCTCAAATTTATGTGCTCCCTCCATTCATGCGGGGTAAAAAAATGGGGTTTCAGTATGTGTTAAGTGCAAGTGTTTTCTCCCCCTCCCAGAAGCAGAATTGCAAGACGACCTTCAAGCCAAGTAAAAAGGGCTTGTAGAAGTAGCCTGGCAAGGAAAGGCAGATCAACAGCTGAGGTAAGAACAGTCATCTGCTTCACAAAGCAAACAAACCATAAAAAGAGGGGGTTTCCCCCTTATTTAAGTGCTACCTTTGTTTATCATCTCCAATGTTTAAAGCTAAAAACATGGCTCAAAGAATTCCCAGATTTTTATCATTTTAAGTCTTTACATGAAGTTAAGAGAAAGTAATTATTTTCCTTTAAAGATGAATGAAACACTTCAGTGTGGTATTTATAGCGATAACACACCTGGCATTTCACTATTATTCGGATAAAAATCTTCTCAAAAAATACAAAAATAGCATGACAACAATTTGAAATGGGCATCTCAAGGCAAACAAATAGGGACACACGTGCAGAACAGTGTCCCAAGCTTTCCTTACAAACTTAAAGTTACTTGAAAAAGTAATTTTCCCTATGTAAGACAACTACCTTAAGCTAATCTCCTGCCTAACACCAGTGTCCAAAAATAGCGTTAAAGATGTATTTTTCAATACTACACCTTTGTATATATAAATTTGAAAAAATGGGATTACATATGAATAGATATTTATATAGTATTTAGCAAAGTATACATCTATACACATATAAAGCTAAGAGAGGACCAGAAATGTTTCTATAATCCAAATTCCAACATTTATAGAAATAATTTTGTCTACTTCCCTTCCATGAAGGGATTCTGCAAGCACTGTGCGTTCTATAATCTTGTGCAGTGAGCAGAGATCTGAGCAGTCCAATCAGTGTAACACACAATCTAAGCAGAATATTGTTTCTGAAAACTTAACTGTTGCAACAACTCCTCTACTAAATCCCATTTCTAAATTTTAGTCTTTGCTGCTCAAAACAGCAAGCTAATCTTTGACAGCAATCTAATGGAATCTAACTCCAAGAGATTCCAAAGGCTTGGCTCCACACCTTGGCAAATTCACCAGTTCAGGTAGTTTATCAGTCAAGGAGCCTTAGTTTTGCCTCTGATTTCTGACTTTATCTTTTATCTGTTCAGCAGTCTCCTGACAGTCACCACGCTGGTGGTAAAATGAAGATATTCAAGTGGACTTTGGGTGTCCTGCTGTTCCTGCTGTTGTCCATCGGGCGCTGCACGGAACAATCCACGCCGAGCAAGACGCCCCAGCGGAGACACCCTCGCTCAGCAGAGGGTGGGGAGGAAGGGAAGAAATGTGGTTACACCTTCTTGGTCCCAGAACAAAAAATCACAGGGCCAATTTGCGTGAACACCAATGGACCAGCTGGCGGGAACAGGAAGGACGAAGTCACCAGGATGGACATCGAGAACCTGAAGGACGTGCTGTCCAAGCAGAAGCGGGAGATTGACATTTTGCAGCTGGTGGTGGACGTGGATGGAAACATCGTGAATGAAGTGAAACTACTGAGGAAAGAAAGTCGGAACATGAACTCCCGGGTCACCCAACTGTACATGCAGCTCTTGCACGAGATAATCCGCAAGCGCGACAACTCCCTCGAGCTTTCCCAACTGGAAAACAAAGTCCTTAATGTCACAACAGAAATGCTGAGGATGGCAACGAAATACAAGGAGCTTGAAGTAAAATACGCAGCACTGACTGATCTGGTGAACAACCAGTCTGTGACAATCTCGCTGCTGGAAGAGCAGTGCTTGAGAATCTTCTCGCGACAGGACAGCCACGGCTCCCCGCCCCTCGTCCAGGTGGTGCCACAGCACATTCCCAACAGCCAGCCCTACACTCCCGTCCTCCTGGGAGGTAACGAGATACAGAGAGACCCGGGATACCCCAGAGATGTAAGGCCACCACCTGATCCAGCCACTTCTCCTACGAAGAGCCCTTTCAGAGTGCCCCCACTGGCTCTGATTAATGAGGGTAAGTTACCCATCCCTGTGTGTCTAACCTGGGATCTCTCCACTCCTGAGGGAAATTGTCCCCACTATCAACACAGAACCAAGAATTCAAAGTACCTGGTACAGCTCACCCTTGCTCCTGATTTTCTCTCCCCCTCCCACCTCCCAGGGAAGGCCTGAGTTTGCCAAACAGCCCATTTCTGCATAAGATGAATTTGTTGAAATGGTCCATATTCAGAATTTCAGCCTGAACAATTTACACCTTTAAGTCACAAAATACTGGGGGTCATCTCTCTCCAGCTGGGTTTGAGTTACAGGAATGAAAATTCAATATTCACGTAAACTTTCCACTATTTACCTGTTTCTTTGATGATGCCTGTCAGCCACAACTTACAGTAGCAGGCAAGGGTGAATAAGAGAAACTAATTAATCTTAAACAAATTAAGTGATTATAAATAGTTCCTCTTTATACTTACTTATGCACGTTTGCCAGAAGATAATCCTGCAAGAAAACTTTTCATCCTTCTATTCTGACCTGCTTTAAAATGAACATCTAAATCCACCATCACAGTGGTGCAGGAAGTCTTGGAGTGTTTGGTTGAAATATTCAGGAGTGATAAGTTTGAAAGGATAATTGAATCAAGGCTGGATCCAATTAGGTGCACTCAGCTTTGAAAATTTAAAATCAGTAACCACAATCCCAGCAGTTAGATGTCAGCAGGGGATGGCAAGTTAAACTAATACCATAAATATTATGAATACATATTCAGGAGACTGTATCACATCTTCACATATTGCATTCTTCAGGTCAGTAGATAAATTCATTTATCACTAGCAATCAAAATCAGTGACAAGATAATTAACTACCTCTGAGGTGCCCTGAAATTGTGTTTCTCACTTTATTAAATAGTTGACAGAATTGTGATTTTTTTAAAGAATCCAAGGATTCAGAAAAACAAGTTCTCAGACATCCATTCAAGTGCTTACCCTTGGCTTCTGTTAGCACAGCCAAAGAGTTTGGTTGGGGTTTTGGGGGTTTAGGTTGTTTTTGTTTTCTTTCCAACTGCCTTCAGTCTCAGTTCAAAGTTAACTTGGTTCCAAAGATGAAGCCAAATATTTGTGACTGTCCTCCAGCATTACAACCAACCAGCTGCTGATGTAAAGAACAACTATTTTTATTCAAGGCCTGTAGAAGATTTGGGCTCGAGCCCGACTAAAATGCCAGATGTCACAGGAATTTCAACTGCACCTCGTGGCACAAAGGAAACAGCTCTTACCAAACAGCACGTTGAGGTCTGCTCAGACAGCACAAGCATCATTCTAAAAAAACAACTTCCTGCTCCCCAGCAAAGCCTCACCTAAAGGTTTTGTTCTAAATACATCTTTTTCTCTCTCGATACATGCCTGCTGCACAGAGAAAACGAGCAGTATTATCCCCTAAATTATCTACCCTGCTTTTCACTGACCCCTTAACCCCTAAAACTTCAGAGTTTGAAGGCATTTTTGCAGGGGAACACAAAGAAATCTCAGAACACTTATTTTAACCTTCTTCAACTTCCTTTAATGCTGTTTGCTTGAGTTGGAAGTTTAAGTGTTTCTTGCAGTGCCTTGAGAAAAGGAGGATTGAGAATTGCAACAGTTGGCAGAGCATCAATCATCAACCCCCCAATTCCAACACAATGCCCAGTTATTATCTCTGACTTTTAAAATTAAGGTAAGCAGATTTTAACAGTGCACAGAATGAAAACTCTGTCATAGAAAAGCCACCTTTACAGTTAAAAGATAATGACTATTTATAATGTATAAAGATGTCAAAAAAGACCAATGAAAACCAAACAGCCCAATTAAAAATAGGTCTGCTAAAGGCTTATGTCAGAATAAATACCTGAACAAACAAGTAGGTACAGCTTCATCAGATACAGGTGGTGAAAGCTCCTTAAAAATACTTGCACACAACATTAAGTTTACAGAAGGGTCAATGAGCATCTTAATACTGTGGGTAGAGACTAAAACTCAAAATACATGGGGAATAGAAGGATGAGGTTTTATTTTGGGGTATTTTGGTTAATTTGCACAAATTCTGCTCTAAATTTTGAGGAAGGATAACTTTACTGTGAATTACAGTTGTCACAATTACCTTATGTTTAATAACAATCAGTGCCCCCAACAATTACTGCCACCACTGTTGCAAAAACTAGCTTCCAGCTAACCCAGTGCTTGAAAATTACACATCCTCCCCCCTCACACCCCTACTAATACCTCTCAGTTAACAATATAATATATTAATAGTCCAATTTTATTTTGCACTTTTCCTCTACTGTTGTCCCCTCAAATCCTCTGTATGAAGCTTACACAAGCACAGCTTCCCTATCATCTGCTCAAGATAACATTTGGCCTCCTAATGTTACTACAGCACCAAGTAATTAAGCTTTCGACTTAAAATATTTAATCCCTTTCCTTCTCTACCACATTTAATTTACCACAGAATATCATCTGCACTAAATCATACATCTAAACCACAGTTTTAGAAGTGAAATATTTAACAGTTCATCTTCTCAAGAGTACTTCTGCCTTAGAACTGTCTCAGTGACTTGGTGAACACAGGTTGTTACAAAAGAGTAGATGTGTGTGAGATACTTATTCCTTACGTAGATAATCTATAAAATCTGTAAGAATTTAAGCAGGAAAATCATGCTTTTTTCATTAGTCAGAGCCTCCACTCACACCAGCACTGTGAAGAACATTCCACTGTTTCTCCAATCTCAGCATTTCCACTGAACAAGATCAGTTCTTACAGCACGAACTTGAAATAATTAATCAAGAATTTGCTTCTAAAAAAAAAAACTTCAAGGCTCTACACCAAAAATTATGGGATATGCTGGATTTCCTAACACTAAGAGCAAAAGTCTGACATCGCCACCAAAACATTAATTTATGATAAGCAAACAAACTTGAGCATCAAAGTAGACAAGTTGCATCCTGTTTCCTTAATGCCAGCTGCATGCTAGAAGTGATCCAAGTGCATTATATAAACAGACTGGTAGAATTCTGTCTGCCTTAGAAACTACTTAAAATCACTCCAAACATCTGCTTAGGTCTCTCATAGAGAAATGGGTCCTCGATTCCTCCTCTGGTAGAAATCACGTTAGGTAATACCCAGATCTAATCGAGCTCCTCTTAATGTTCAATTAACATTACAAAAAATTAAGAATTGATTGTTTACACTTCTTCTAAAGCAATAACTGTTTTACAATAATACTTCTGGAACAACATCCCTGTTCAGTTGTAGAGCATCCAAACAGTTCAAGGAAAGGAAGTGAGACCCAGCTTAACTCACAAAATTATCTATCTTGTGGACAAACTCTGCAATTTTCACAATCTACCTGGAAATTTTAATTGTGAACAAGAGAAAAAGCATTCATATACCACAGCTACACGATTTCATTCCTAAACTTCCAATGGAAGAATGGGAAAACCATCACAAATCCTGCCAGTGCAGCAGAACTGGCAATGAGGGCTCAGTGCCTGTGACACCCCCGGTACTTCTGTCATAGCCAGAAGCTCCAAGTTCTCCTCATTAGATACACAAGCTTTATATAGTCTAATTAATACAAAATGTTTTAAGGATTTCTTAATTATCACATACTTGTCAAACTGGAAACTACTACCTGAATATCTAAGACAAGGGCAATTTTCAACTTGCTTTTGCCACACAACCTTAATCTGCAGTGAAGGTCAATCTCCCTCAACCTCTGCTTTTGATTAAAGAATAATCTCAACAACTGTCTCCTGTGCTGCTTTGCACATGAGCTGCTTCTGTGACTGATGAGTTCTCTCTGAACTTCCAAGGATGTCTGAGCAAATTAGCCTTCCAGGAGGAGAGGAAAGCTGTAGCTAATTTATTTTCAGCTATACTGAGTTTTCAAACATATTTAGGGCACTCACCACTAACCAGCCATTAGAACACACTTTGCTTTTCATTAGTAAATAACCAACCTCTCTAAACCAACTGAAGCCATGATAGACAAACAAATTCTTTTGTAAAAAGCAGAAAATAAAAAGTATTACCAAAAAATGAAAGGCAAAGCTTTCAGAGATATGAAAACTGCACCCTTCTCACAGAACCACCAGATGCCCTTCTCTAAGTAACATTTGTAAAACCACTATTCACATGGACTAAAATAGAGCTTTCAACAGGAACAGCATTTTTGTAAAGCCACAGCCCTGAAAAAAGTTTAAGAGCCCTTTTAGCTCCTCAGAAATCCTTCTCCATTGCTTATTTCTTCATCAGTACCCATCTACCTGTATCACATCTGCATGACCCAGGAACCTTTAAAAGATTCCTATCCACAGTTAACAGCCCCATCCAAAACACTGGGTAAATACATAAAGGCAAAACATTGTGCAGTGTAAGAACTCTCTCTGATTAAATTCCACGTCTGTAGGCTCTGGTGGTAAATATTTCTTACAGCAGCTCCCAAACTACTTATGCATTTAGAGGTTTAGTTGGGTATCCTGAGTTTGTTTTGTTTTTAATTTCCAACAGTTTCAAACCGATGCACGAGGATAATGAAGTAAATTGATGTCTACCTTTTGTAAAAAAGGAGAAAATAATCAATAAAAATTATAATGCACTTCAATATCAAGAGAAAGAGTATAAATCTTGAACAAGTAGACCTACCTAAAAAAATTAGGTGTTGGTAAACAAAATCTATTATTTATTTAGCAAAATGAAGTTTTTGCTTAAAAATATGTAAAGAGAGAGGATATGTTTATTTATAGATACACAATTAATCTCAGAGAGTAACTTTTTGCACTGTTTTCCATGGTACCTTTATACTTTAATTGAATTACTGACTTTCCATCACCAAAATATTCCTGAACAATGGGCACTGCACAGCCAAGCTTGAATGCTTACAGTGTTTCTTCTCCAAAAGGTCCATTCAAAGACTGCCAACAAGCCAAGGAAGCTGGACATTCCAACAGTGGCATTTACATGATCAAACCTGAGAACAGCAACGAGCCAATGCAACTGTGGTGTGAGAACAGCCTGGACCCCGGAGGATGGGCAGTTATTCAGAAGAGGACAGATGGATCTGTCAACTTCTTCAGGAACTGGGACAGTTACAAGGTAAATTGTGGAATGCAGAGAGTCAGTGGGTGAAGAAGGATAATTGGAAAGAATGGTCACCCCTCAGAGGCAAACATATTTCAGTGGGAATGTCCTGTTTTTCCTCAAGGCACAGTTAACTTTGTGTGAACCAACCTGTTGTCTGAAAAAGCCTCTATTTGTGATGCACAACACAACTGGGAGACACATGTTGTTCTTCACAGTGACTGGGAAGCCATTTATTACAAAGCTCTAACCAAACACATGATTTTTATTAACACACTGAGAACTGCAGCAAGTACTTGTAAAGCTTAATTGTCCCCCTTATGAATAGGCAAACTCAGTCAGTGGAATTATTCATTCAAACACATTAATAGATTTGCAGCATCGGGGCCTCAACTTAAAAACAGTCCTAAGACTGAACTGAAGGAAATAATCTCCACTTGTAAATTTAGGTTAGAAATGTGAAGATGTCAGGTTGGTGAAGGGAAACACATTCCTGTGTGTTACTGGGATATTCTGCACTAGCAGGCAGAATGCCCAGGATGAGCAATGGATGCTGCTTTGGAGTAATTACATGCTGAACAGGACATTTGAACAGCCATTTGGTTGGGCTTTTTAAATAATCATGTGCTGACTTCATACACGCAGGACACGTTTTTCCCCTGGGATGCTGTCTTCATCTGAAATGGATGTGCAATTGCCACCTGCATTGTACCTGCAGAGACAACTGAGCCACGTTCAACTCCAGCAGTAATTTAAAAATAGCCTCGTGTATACAAAGGAATTGACAAAAAAAATCAGCATAAGCACTTCTGCTTCCTGCACTCTTGGAACTTAATGGTTCAAATATGAATCATTAAATCAATAATGAATACATAAATTATTCAATCTATCAATAATCATTAAATTAAATCAATAGTTACTCAAAGTCCTTGCTTCTCAGAACAGTGGGTGGTTGGTTTGGGAGCTGTTAAACATTACAAAATGTAATAAGGAAGTTATGGAGTGCTTATAAAGTAACCATAAACATTGTGGTTACAATGCAACAGCAAACATTAGTAACACTGGTGTACTTGGGCAGAAGAGAGAGAAGACAGGAAATAACACTTCACATCTATTGTGCTGGTAGTCTGTGATTTGAAAGGAAAGATGCCTTTATATTTAATTTCTAATAAATCCAGTAAAGAGTACAGATGAATTATGTGATTAAATTCACAGTACAAACCAACACTAGTTGAAATACAAAGGCAGCAAAAAGTTATTTGCCTTGAACACTGACATGGTTGATCCAGAAATGCCTTTTTCAAACTGGAAATATACCCCTAAAATTCCATTATTCATCCATTCTTACAGATTCCCTCAGCTTTGTCAAGAAATATATTGTTTTGGTTTCCCTGAAATTCTCACCCCCCTTACCTTAAATAGAAGAGGACAGCCCATAACACAGAAATTTTGCTACCTTTACTGATTCTGGCAGCATCTTGTGCAGCTTAGCAGTCCAAGTGCAGCAAAATAAGGCACTTAAATGAATGTGTTGAGCAGTAATTCAAAAGTTTAAAGGTTTCCAGTACCCAAATTCCACCGGTTTATAACACTCCAGCTGAGGAGTGTTTTGACAAAGAAGAAAAACTAAGCCCTTCTGATCTTTGTTCACACAGAAAGGATTTGGAAACATTGATGGAGAGTACTGGCTGGGACTGGAAAACATCTACATGCTCAGCAATCAGGATAATTACAGACTATTGATCGAGCTGGAGGACTGGAGCAACAAGAAAGTGTATGCCGAGTACAGCAGCTTCCGCCTGGAGCCCGAGAGCGAGTTCTACCGGCTGCGCCTGGGCACCTACCAAGGGAACGCGGGCGATTCCATGATCTGGCACAACGGGAAGCAATTCACCACCCTGGACAGAGACAGGGACATGTATTCAGGTAAGGAGGGGAAAGGTGAGGAACACTCCATTAGTTGTACCATGTTTTATAAACAGCACCCAGAAACAGGATGTAAATCCTGAGAGAGTGGCTCTATTTATTGAAAGGTGCTTCAAACCCACGGGGACACAAATCACACTGGCAGTGCTCCCTCCAAGCCCCTGCACCAGTCAGAAATTCAAATTCTATTACCCTCACTGCGAACACACCTCAGCAACTTTGTTCAGTTCAAGGTCATCCTCATCACTTGTGTGTGACTGCACAGTCAGAATCCCTGTCCAGGTGATCTCCAAGTTGTGTTGCTCCCACACAACAGTAATCACCAGGAACTAAAGCCTCTGGACATCACGAAAGGAACTGCAAGTGTGCAGAGGCTCAGTCACGTACCAATACTTGAGAAAGGGGCAGATCACTGGTTTTGTCCTCCTTAAAGCACACTTTTTTGCTCCTTTCCTCCAGCTTTCCCCTTAGCAGTAAAGGAAAGGTTGGGGACTGCAATACTTCAACTGCTTTTCCTCCGCTGTAAATAACCATAAAGCTGGACAAATCCTGCAAACTCTCAGACAAGCCTGTAACAGTAAAAACACAAGTTACAAGTAAGTCTTTGTGGAGTTGTGGCCCCATATGCTGCTTGGGGCTGTATCAGCTCACGTGGTTTCCCTTGAAGTATTTCTAAACAGCACATAACCCAAGTTCCTTGGATGTTAGCTCATGGAGAAGCAGTGTTGGTAGCCTGAGAAGAGTTATCTCCTTCATTTTCAGCTGTCCCACTAAACACAGCGTCAATAATCCCCACTCCACCCATGGCTGCTGCTACAACAGAGCTTACAATTCAAACAGAAGCAGCAACTGAAGTGCCCACGACAGGCTGTGAGGCACCTCCAAGTGCCCCCTGAGAACAAGTCACGATACAAAACCATTTAGTAAATCTCCATTTCTCCCCTTCAGAGCCAAGATTCACCCCTTTCCCTCTGTCCCACAGGAAACTGCGCTCACTTCCACAAGGGCGGCTGGTGGTACAACGCGTGTGCCCACTCCAACCTCAACGGGGTGTGGTACAGGGGAGGCCACTACAGGAGCAAGTACCAGGATGGAATATTTTGGGCTGAGTACCGGGGAGGCTCCTACTCCTTGAAAGCAGTTCAGATGATGATCAGGCCTATAGACTGAGGAGGGAAATCCCACAGCGCTCAAGTGATCCCGTGCAAACTTCCCGGTGTTTGAGTTCCAGGAAAAAAAAAAAATAAAAAATAAAGTATTACTTTTTTAAATCATTATTTTGCACAATCTGCCCCTGCAAAAAGCAGGCCTACAGTTTTCCTGTCTTCTTTTCCCTGTTGTATTCCCCTCTCCTTTTTTTAGAACCCTTCTCTACTGTGACAGACGGTGGGTTTTTTGAAACACAAATTCACAAAAGCAGATGTTTGTGCTTGCAAAGCATATTTATCCTTTGTTCAAGACCAACATGCTTTATATAAACAGTTGTTGAAGCTGGTAAAAAAACCTCCAGATTTATGACAAGATATAAGCTTTTCCACTTCAAAAAGCTTATGCTCTTTCAGGTTAGCTCAACCCTTCAATGTAAATATGTGAAATGACACTGTCTTGCTTTAATGTGAAAATTGATTAGTTATTTAACAATTTATTTAAAAATGTGGATATTGCTTTCAATGAAAAATCTGACTTCACATTACTGTTTGATATTTACTCCGAGAAGCTATGCAAAAAATTGGAGACATTTTAGCTTTGCCAGCAGAGAGATTTTTGCAACAAATAATTATTTCAAAATGAAGTGGCAAATCAAACATAAAATATAGAATTCCTGAAGGAATTCTCTACACCACTAAGATCTGCAAGTCCTACCTTCTGTAAAACACTCCCCATATAAGAAAATTGATTTTATGAAATTATTGGCAAAACTTCAGGCAATCAAATTGCTGGGTATTTTTTTTTACTTTCAACCTCCATATTCAAACATCCTAATTAAACCAAAGTATTTCTTGATAGTTTGAACTTAAACGGCAAAACTGAAAGTCTTGATATTAAAATCATGGTTTGACACTTGGAGCCCCTTCCCCTGCTCCCATTAGGAGTGATGAGAGCAGATCAAATATTCACACAGAGTAATTTAGAGGTCCAAGTCTCTGAACATCAGAAGTTTTTGTCCAACACAGATTTCTGCTGCCACAGTAAAACAAAGGTTAGAAACCAGCTCTGAGTGTGTTCTCCCTGTCATCCCAAATTTGGGCAGCTCTTATGGCACACACGTTTCCCTTCCTCTATGTGTTTATAACTTTTGACACTGTCTCTCTTGAATTTTGTCTCTTAGAGATAGGATTTCCACTGGAATTGATAGGTAATTTAGGAAATTAAATAGAAAATACTTCCGAAATTGGGTACCACAAAACATTTGCTTTAGTTTACCGGAATCTCAAAACTAAAGCTTTCTTTTTGTTATATAAAATAACTGTACTTAGTCACACAGGTTGCCTAATTGTATTTAATATTACATAAAACTAAATATGCTGTTCTGAACTGTAACCAATGTATTTGTTTAGCACCTCATATGTGCCTCCAGGATTTTTAAGGAACTTTGCCCCTATTTAACATAAGAAACCCTGACAGCTAAAAGAATAATCTGATTGTTACGTTAAATTAGTCGGGATCAAATGATAGGGAAAGCTTCACATGTGATTCAGAGAAGAGGAAACAGCCTTCTGCTTTCAGAACACACTCTCTGGAGTAGATAAAGCTTCATTGATAATATATGGCTGAAAGGGTTGTAATTAAATCTTTGGTCAAGAGATCAAAGCCAACAAAGTTTCACCAATATTTAATCGGGGTTGGCAGCGGTGGGGAATCAGTCCCAGCATATTCCATTCCCAAATTCCAAGAACTTTAACTGACACAAATGTTTACTATTCCCATTCTGAAATTGTTCTTCATGTAAGGAATACTTGTTTGTTACAAATATCACACAGACCTCATTGACTGAGTGTCCTACAAAATGCTTTTTATTTGCAAATGCTTAAAATTCAGACTCTCTATAGCCTATCCTTTTTTTCTGTGGTAGCTGGATAGATGAGGAGTTCAGGTAAACTTAAAAGCTGAAAATGCCCTCCAAAATGTTCCTTTAATGAACACTTCTGACAGCCTTAGTTCATTCAACCAGCAGATTTCCTCTCCTTGGCAGAGAGTTTATTTTACCCCGAAAATCTCTTGCCTGCTACAAAAACAGTGTTTGTTTATTCAGTGTAGTCAGTGAAATGTGTACTCTGCAGAAACCCCAAAGTAAAATTAGCTTGCACTCAGCCTTTTAATTAAATCTTATATATTAGACACGTAAAAAGTGAGTCTTCCCCAGTTTAAAGCTGCAGGATGACATTAACTAAACATTATTACAAAAATACACCCAGAAACCTCAGACTGTACAAATGCTGAGCCCTGAAAGGAAAGACTTAATTAAGTTGCCAATTTAAGATTACGAGGAGGGAAAGCACAGCATCTCTTTAACAGGTTGGTTCATACCCTGTACAAATATTCACTTTCAAATGCCTGTAACTTTATCAATTTGCAGCTTTTGGGTTGAACTTCCTGAGCAGGGTGAAGGACTTCAAGAGTTCAATGTTTTCTCTCCCACTTCTTTTAGAGATGATTTTGAAAAGTGGTTGTAGCATCCCCTTAAACTTCTTGCCCTGGACATTCTGCCTGTGAAGGACAGAGCCTTCACCACTCCTGTATCAACAGTCTAAATTTAACAGGCAGACCCCAAGAAAGTTTAACATGACCAAACCTGAAACATGGTTTTCACATTTATTTCCAAAATCTATTGCAAGCACTATCACTGAAGTGGCTGAATATTCAGCTTAATATACTGAATATATTTAATAACCTGTTTTCAGCTTTTCTGTTTCTTGTTATAACTCCTCAAAGACAGCTACAAGAAAATATTTCACAAGGTAGTTCTGCTTAGTTAAATAAAAATCTTACTTCTCAAGATACGGCTCAGTTGTTTCATTGTGCAATCTCAGATTAATCAGAACTCTATGATAAGACATTTTTATTTCCCCCCCATAGCCTCAGTTAAATGTGGAAGGGCATCATTATCTTGTCCACAGCAGGTGAGGTATTAAGACAACAATCTGTACTTCTGTGGCTCTGCTGCCATTGCAAAAACAAAACTTAAAAGCTTTTTTGGTTTAATCTTACAGTGCTAAGATGGTCGTGAAAAAACCCTCTACACTCACATTTGATATTTGGTTGCATAAGGGTAACCCAAATATCCTCTGAAGGGTAAAACATTGATCCTGGGAATTGCAGCTGAAATTCTTTTATACACTCACTTTCCCTCATGACTTTCCAAAAGGAGCCTCCATGACCAGTGCAGCAGTATTCCTTCCAGAAATTGTAACCCAGACTGATAAGCTTAAAACAGTAACTAAACCAAGCAACTGAAGTTTCTTCTGTTCCATATGACTCTCACATGAGCAAAAATGTCTTGGAAAGGAAATCTGAGAAATAACAAATCTACTCAGGTCTTAATGGAAACCAGAGTTTTGATCAAATGAAGAAACGTGGACTCAATTTTCAATCCCCCAAGATGGATACAGATTTATCATGACTGCAGTTTCAAGGCAATTTTGTTCTTTTTGCCACTTATTTCATTTCACAATTAATTTTAGAGAGAGTGCACCAGTGGGCATTTGCTTTTCCTCTGGAGAACTAAAAAAGGCTTGAGAACATTCTTTATGTCACTGGTAAGAACTGATATCACATGAAGCCAGGTCCCAACACATCCTTTAATTCCAGCAGGTCACAGCAAAGAGCATTTCCTCCCTTCTAAATAGAAAATAACTACATATTTCACTTCAAACTTTCAAGTCAAGCCCAAAGCTTATTCTAATACACAAGTTAGACCAAGAAGCTTCTACTGTCCGGGGGAAAATAGCTGTAACTAAACAAAACTGAAAAAGCTGCTTCCCAAATTGGCCTTGGGACTCTTTATAATCAGCAAGAAAACAACTTGAGCCTGGCTCCATGTTTCAAAAATCATGGCACGTGGGTCAAAAGCATCTGGAAGGTCAGAAGCATTTCAGAACTGTGGACCATGTGTATATGCTGTGTGTGTACACATGATGGGAAAGCTACATGTTTAATCACATTACATTAGGTTTGGCTGTTTTTCTGCCCCCTTTAAATCAGGTCCTGAATGAGGAACATTAAAATTACTATTGGTTCCTCACAGCAAACTATTTTTTTCTATTTAAGTACAAAGCATGAAAAATTCAACCTGTTAATCTTGACAAAGTTAACAGCCCAGTTGAGTAAAGGAAGTATCAAACTGCAGGAACAAAGACATTACAGTTTAAGAGGTCTCAGTGACCACAAGAAGTCATCTGGAATTCAGGTGTAAGAGCTACTCATACCTGCAGAAGTACCAAAAAGTGGATACACGTTTCCTTTATTTTATGTGACTACCAACATCTTAAGGTATCAAACAAAAGCTACATTAAAAAAAAAGCACACTGATTACTTTAATGTCTTACTTTAAGTAACACTAGATTAGCCTGGCAACAAAACAAATGCATATCAAACACATTTATCTGGTTTTTAGATACTCAGGAATGTAATTTACTAATAATTACTCCATAAAGCTGAGTCAGTCATAACAACACCGTTTCTTACACCAGTCACCTTGGTGTAACTAATGCAGCAATATCTCCAGATTTTAGCATGTCCCAAAGCCCAAGCTGTACATTTATTTATCTCAGAGGTTGGTGATTTATAGCATCTCATAAATTAAAAGCCCTCATCATTATAACAGTCAAGTATTTAGCTGTAAGGGCACTAGCAGGGGTAACAATTTAAGCACTTCTCCAGAAGTCAATCAGCGTATTTGTACAACATGTGGGAAAACAATTTCCTAGCAAACTGATACTGCATGTAAAACCTGAAGTGTTTGTGAGGTTTAACAGGTATTTTCTTGCTGAAATTCTGTCTTGCCACATACAGAGAGTACCCAGAATCAACTGGGGTTATAGACTCTTTAATGAAGTATTGAAACAGTTTCATGAATGCCTAAAAGATGGTGTTTTGTTTGTGTAATTACTGGAGAAATATGCTCCAACTTACCTAAATAGGGAATACAAGGAGTCATCTTCAAGCTGCTGATATAGTCTCTAAGCCTTTTGTAATTATCTTCTTTACTCATCACATACTCCAACTTGTCAAAGGTGGCTTTATCCTTCCGGCTCAGTAACTGGCGAAAGAAAGAAGAAGGGAAAACCAGGTAAGCTTAAATTTGATCATTATGATTTCTCTTTTATCCTTATAAGCACACATCTCCATTTGTCCACTGCTGTTGTTATTGGCTGGGTTTTTTTTTTTAATACAACTGCCTCAGAATTGCAGCATTTACTCCACCAGAATGAGCAGGCTCTTTGGATCATCTCGTGACATGCTGACCCTGTGTGACTTCCCCCTGTGCTCACAGGGCAACTCCCACCATGCCTCCACTTCCTGCATGGAGGCAGAAAAGTGCAGAGCACATTAAAGGTGTTTCTGTGAGGGCAAGGAAGGACCCACTTGGCAGTTCTTCAGTTTTAGAGCTGCTTCTTTTAAAAATAGTTTTTCTTCCTCTGTCTCTTGGGCTCAAAGGATGCAAAGAACACTAAAGAGATGTACATGGGCAGAGACAATGAAAGCTAAGGCTGACAGTTCACAGCATCAGGAAAGGACTTGGACCCTTCTAAATTGCAGTTTGTTTTCTAGTTATAGTGTGCCAACCCTGAGCACAACCTTTCTGAAAGGCAAGAAAGGAGTGATGAGGTTTCAGGGTGCTGGTAGAGCAGGGTAGGACTCGCCTCGCTTCAGATTTTAATGATTATTTGCTTCCATTGCCCAAATCCTCACTGGTCATCTACAATTCCTTTACATTAACTAGAGAGAAGTTGAGTATTCTGTTCTGTGAACTTCCTGGCAAGGTTCACAACTCTTTTCCAGTTTTGAATGGGGCAAATCACACACTAAAAGCAGCATTTATTATTCTCCAGAGTTGAAAGTGTGTGCAGGCAACAGGCGAGACAAACTTGAGGCAAATTCAGACATACCGTCAGAAGACATGAATTTCATCTTTTTTAGGAACATTAGATTACCAAGCAAATATTTAATGGCTCCTTTCTACTCGAGATTCCAACCATATTAGGTGGCCTTTTTTTTTTATTTTGCAGGGGATGAATACACTTGCAGCTCTTTTCTTGACTGTGTAAGTCGAGTTGATTGAGGGTTGCTACAAACCATCTCAGAAATGGAGAAGAAATCCTTCCCTGAGGAAGGTTTTGGAGAGTTACTGCATAACTTCCTCAAATGACTTGACTCCAGTAATGGCTTCAAGTGCCTTTTCTTGCTTTTAATGCACAGAAAGCCAAATGCTTAGAATGATTTCTAGAATTTATAAACTGAACCTCCAGGAGAAGGACAACCACATCAGTCTGTAGTGCACAGTGCTGGGAGCTCTCCTGTAACTTTGATTTTGTAAAGCTTTATGTAAGGTGAGGAAAAGCAAGTGCTTGGGGTTATATGAGAAATCAAACACCTGCAGAAATGGGGGAGAAGTTACCTGGCATTTCAGAGGTCAGAAGGGGGGAAAATTTAAACACTGATACATGCCAACATCAAACAAATAATCCTCCTAAGTGCAAACACTGGCATAACCAGGCAGGAGGAGAAACTGGGGACTCCCAGTTCTGAATGGCATCCTCATGGTAGTAACTAATATAGTTGGTTTTGATTTATGGTTACAGTTACATTTATTTAGAGTCACGTACAAAAAGAGATTTAAAAGTCAATTTGGTATCACAGTTATGTACAACTGTTGAGGCATCAGCTCCTTGATATGACAACATCAGAGAAACAAAAGTTTTTGGTATGGAGAAGCAATGTCTTACTTAACTGTGCATTTGGAAAATGTTCCCAGAATTCCAGATGAGTATCCCAGCAGGAGTGGATTATATTCAGTTTTGGTAACGTTTATCAACTGAACAACATTATCATGCAGTTATCAAAGAAACACTTTTTGTAACATCCAAGGACGTGCTGACACGTGTTCAGTGAAAATTTTCACCTCTTTTTAATGATCTATTTATATGCATCCCTTGCACAGGAGTATTTCAGTCACCTGAATGTTTCTGGCACACTTCATGTCACAGCTCATCTGAAACAGCTGGAAAACTACACAATGTATGGCTGAATCAAGGATTATTTTCTAAGCTCTGAGGCATCAGTGAGCAAAAGTAATTCCTGATATTCTTCTTATCAAGGATACCACATAAAAATTATATTAATACCAGTCAAATAACGGAAGTCAAATAAAGACGGTTCCAAAGAACACTGTTCTTTCACAACTGTGCAAATGCAGAACTACAAATATACTGTCCAATGCAGTTTTAACTATGAAAATAATTCTGAAAACTCTGAAGAATAAGTGACAGATTTAGTTATCGGTCAGAGAAACAACAAATCTCTTTATGGCAACTGAATCAAGAGTTTCTGAACATCTGCTCTCCATAGCAAAAGAAAAATTCCAACAGCATAAACCCCTAAATGATTAAAGTATGACCCACTTTGGCATTCAGAATTTTCCAGCAACTAAATACAAAGTAGCTTCTGGTCAAATTAGAAGCCTCTGCATTTAGCAGAATCTGCAGGGAACCATTTTTCAAAGGAAAATATTTCTATGCTAGAATGGAAAAAATATATCCAAGAGGAAACCATAGACTTCAGAGGAACTAGAAGCATTATGCACGCAGTAGAATAAAATTAAAACTATCCATAATAATTACTGCATCCCTGAAAACAGAGTGTTGTGTTTTCCTACGGATAAATGAAGAATGTTGTATTTTCCTGAGAATAACTCAACCCCCCTCTGCTGTGCTGCTGCTCCACTTACCGCCCACGTCTTGGTCAGCCTGAAGATCGGAGC